TTGAGTGGTGTTCATAGCATCCCTCGAGTCAGTCAGTTAGGTCACAGCTGTACGCAGGTGCACCGTTTCAGCGGGTGTACGTGTGGCGGCCACAAGCTGTTCGTTCGATGTGAGGCTCCAGGACTTCGACTATGGAACGATCTGGAAGGTGATCAGTATGAATGAAAAGAAGGTCACGAGGAGACAGGCGGATCTCGCATATGGGGCCGTGCCTCACACTCCCTCGAGTGCAAGTGCTACATAATAAAAATCAACGACCATCTGAAAGTGTTAGGTAGAAGAGACACAATTGAAAGATGTATCGTACCTGCACCGCGGCGTTGCAGGAGCATAGATAATGGAAGACTATCACACGCGTGCTGCAAAGACAAGCTGCGACGCTTTGCACACACGGCGAGATAGATCCCGAGTTGAGTTGGGGTTGCAGTGAGAGATTGCGCAGCATCGGGGGTTGAGTTGGATGGGAATGCTACAATGCTTCGAGTAGGGATATGAGACGTGAGTGGATCCTGCCTCCGAGTCGGAGTTGGATCCCGCTGGTACAGCTGCTGTAGCCACATAGCACGTAGTTTCTCCTTGCGGTAGTTAGCAGCACGTGACCAAGACAGGCTTTTCCGAGATCGCCCATGTCCGAGTGCTTCGTGCCTTGGTGAGCATCTTCATTGTGGTGATTTGAGTGGGATCCGAGTGCCCTACATGCCCAACCACCTTCCCCCATCCTAGCCCACCGCTGTATTCAGCGAGACCCCCCATTTGCCGTGTACTTTATATGAGACGCATCACCCGCACCATGGAGCCCCAGCCTCTTTTTTCGAGCATTTTCTCTAGCTTTCAGCGCACCAGCTCTCTCCCTTTAGGCTTTATTCAAGATACCTGGTCTTTTTCAACTTGAAATGCCCTTGGCTTCACCTTTTCTCGGCACAACATCCTTTTACAACGTGGATGGACATTCGGAGGTGGAGAGCCAAGAGGAAGATGTGGAATGGTACGAGAGGGATGATTTGGAGTTCAGGTGGACTAGGACATGGATCTTGACGCACAGGGATGCGGAGAATCTAGGTGTGTGGGCAGCCAGTCTCAAAGTCATGGCTGGTACGCAGCATCTCATTCCCGTTGTCCCCACTACTCTTTCGAACACCCAGACAAGTATTAGACGAGAAGTAAAGCAGTGTGTAGTTCCAGGAGCCCTGTTCAGCTCAGGTGCAGAGTGGGAACTGAGGATGAAGGAAGGAAGAAACAGGAAGTTGGCAGCGGAATGACTCAGATCACTTCGGCTTTTGGCACGAGTCTGGCAAGCACGGGCACATCAATTTGCTCAATGATCGTGAGGGCTTTCTATCTTTGCCTTTCCCTCTCGCTCGCTCCTGGATCATGTGGATGTGCATCGGCGCCGCTTGGAATCCCCTCGAACGCGGGATGGACAAAAGAATCACGAAATGTATCATGCCCCCACTCAACACCCACTTCGAGTTTAGTCTCTTGTAGACAGACACTCTAACATGAAGCTCGTACCTCGCAAGTTAGAGTCTGTTAGTAAGCACGGGGGTCCGACCGTGAAGCGGCGCTATGATGTAATATGACATAAGCCGTTGTTCGAACCCCACCGTGAACACCTTTTTTAATATTGGAATGTATGCCTTCCTCAAATAATTTGGTCAATGAAAACGACATAGAATAGACAGAATAAAGTTTTCGAGTGGTGCCCATTTTTTTTCAAGATTGTTCTATGTCTGTGAGGATGAACATTCATCTTGTTCCATTGGGCTTCGGCCGAGAAACGGTCATAAGTCACATGACAAATGCAGTGATTTTAAAGAGACAGCTACAGTGCCTCAGTCAGAATTTTGAGGAGACAGAAACATAGATTCGGCTTCCTTTATAAGTTCTGGGGTGTGAATATATAAAATATCGCGTCGTTGAGACATAAATTTCGCGACTCGGAGTCTGCTTATGTCATATTACATAATATCTTCCTTACACGGTCCGACCCCCATGGTAACTACTAGACTAAGTACTTCGAGTTGCACTAACTCCATCTACGCACGGACCTGGCTCGGATGAACAGATGGGAGCCACTGGGTGAACATTTCAACTTTTTCACCAATATTTTCAGTGAAAAACTTCCTTCATTTTTCACACTTTTTTCACTGAAAAAGTATGTCAAATTTTAAAACTTTTTCACTACTTTTTGAATTTTATTTCGGATTTTTCACCTTTGTCGAAAAAGCGGTGAAAAAGTTTTAAATTTTTCACATGCTTTTTCAGTGAAAAAAGTGTGAAAAATGAAGGACGTTTTTCACTGAAAAAATTAGTGAAAAAGTTCAAATGTTCATCCAGTGATCTGTGACGATCTCTCTGCGGATATGTGAGTACTAATCTGTTGTCATCTTTTGTTTCGCGGAATTTTCTTTCTACTTCTGGTGCTTTTGGAGCTTCGCAACGCCTTCGCACCAGCTGCCGTTCGTTGCACTGCCTGAACAACTGGGTCACGGTGTTGGCTCTCAAACCCGCTGCCCAGTATTCAGCAGATTTCGAGCACTGTGAATCACCTTCCGTGCCAGTACTTTCCCCCTCTTCTATCTCTTATTCGTTTCTATCCGCGCGTCGAAGTGCTGATCCCCTTGATCCACAGACGACTACAGTAGCCACAATGCCTGTGGAGGAGGGAGCGCTATGAGCATGTGCGTTTAGCACGAGTGATGTGCGTCCTCATTTTTGTCCGCCTCCCATAGCCATACTATCCCATTGCTCTCCACCCCTCCGTGTATCCCTCCCCGTGTCTCATTCTGTCCGTTGACTCCCCCATTCCGCGTCTGTACCGCTTCTCATTCTGTGCCTCTCTTACCTGTCCCATCCTCATCGGTCATTCGCGCCCTTTCCCTCTCCCCTAGTCCCTTCCTCACGTCCCTCCGATCCCGCTTCCTTCCCCGCCCTCGCGCCTCGCCGCATCATACCCTCTCCTGATATCCCATGCGGCCCCATTGACCCACCCCCTACCGTCTTCTAACCCCCTGCTCGCCATCCCCTTCCGTTCTCCCCCGTCCGCCTCTGTCCGCCCTTCCTGTCATGACACATTCATTTCGCGCGCCTCATTCTTCCTTGTCTGCATCGCATCCATACCGCCGATTCTTTTCTTCCCCTCTGTCCCCTCTTCCCCCGTCGCTTCCTCGTCCTCGCACCCCCATCCGCCGCCGTCTCATTCACCTGTATCCCCCACTTCCCCATCCAGCTCCTCCTCTCCCTCTCCCTCGCCCACACATCTCCTCGACGTCCAGCCCTCGTCCTCCCCGGGTCTCCTATTCTGCCCCTCTATTCACCTCACCTCTCGCATCCTCTACTTCACCTTCCGGGTTCCCCGCCCCCCATCGTTCTAGACTTCACTAACCACAGCCCCGCGTGAAGTGCATGAGCGTCAACTCCCGCTGGGGCTGCACCACCTCTGTCTCTCCATCTGTCGATTCCCAATTGCATCCAGGATTTTAGCTTGGGGAGCTCGGGAGCGGGGAGTCGAGCCCCGGTCTGCAAGTTGGTCCCAAAACAAACTAAATGCGGACTCACGGTGTTCCGTACACCACGCCCGGTTAATTAGGTTGGGAGTCCTCTGTTAATAGCGATGGTTGAAGCCCCAGGGAAATTCAAACCCGTACTGTAGGCGACTCCAAGTCGTGAACAGGGGAAATCAAGCATGTATCTGTGCATCAATTCGCCCATAAGAGAGCTCAAGCACGGAATAAAAAGTGCCACAGGGACGAGATTAGTTCAGGCGCAGGAGTCGAACCCCAGTTTGCGAAAGTAGATGTGATGTGTGGTCCATGCAGCCTCGCGGTGTTCAGTACACCACACCCGATTAATTACTTCTGGTGTTCCTGCATGAACTCAGGCTATTACTTGAGTAGATGACATCCTTGACCGATCCTCATAGCCGCCTCTGTCGCGTGAGGCACACATATCCCCTTGTTGAAAGATAAGGCAAATAAATCGACTATTTACATAATGTAAAAACAACCCGGGCGCGGGGAGTCGAACCCCACCCAGCGGGCTAATCTTTCTTCTATTTTCGCTAAGCATACCCGCAGTGCACCCTACACCACACCCGAATAACCAAGCCTGCCCCGAGTCCGGATCCAAGTAAGAGGAGGCTCGAGCCCAGATTTTGTTTTACCGTTGATACAGTAAATTCGACGGACCCAATGACTTGACAGTTGACGCGCTAACGTCTTCAGCTGAGTCGAAGCCCCCCAAAAGAAATAAAAAGGAATTACAATCTACGAAGTTCGGGCGCGGGGAGTCGAACCCCAGCCTGTGGGGGAATTTATCGTTCAGATGCATAGAAACCCGCGGTGCAGAGTACACCACACCCGAATATCTATCCTCATCCAACTCACGACCATATACAGTCAGCCGGTGGGACGAGCCCAGATTTAATGTCGCCTCTGTGAATATTACGCAACCGGCCCAAATCCAGAGTCCCGACTGCGCACTTCCAAGTCCCGACGCTGATGTACGCTAGTACTCCGCACACCAAAATCAGGCAAAGCAGTTAACATTGAATCCACATCCTCCGAGTCCTCGAAGGCAAGCCCTGCGAATAAATAAAACAAGAAAAGAAAAAAGAAGGCTCGAGCTTCGGGCGCGGGGAATCGAACCCCGGCCCGCGGAATAAAGCTACTGCGACAACGTTTGACACAGACTCGCGGTGCACCGTACACCACGCCCGGCTACTTCTTCCTGTCCGACTCACGGATATATACCGTCAAACGGTGGGACGAGCCCAGATTTCATATTGCCTCTGTGAATATCATGCCACACAGAAGCGATGCGCGGCCCGAATCCCGAATCCCGGCTGCGCACTCCCAAGTCCCGACGCTGATGTATGCTAGTACTCCACACACCAAAATCGAGCAAAGCAATAAAAATATAAACCACCTCCTCCGGGTCCTCGAAGGCAAGCCCGCGAATGGATAAAAAGAAGACAAGAAGCATGTGTCGCATCTTTGAAGTTCGGGCGCGGGGAATCGAACCCCAGCCTGCGGGCTAAACAAAGTTTATCGTCCTCTTAAGTATACCCGCGGTGCACCGTACACCACACCCGAACACCTACCCTCATCCGGCTCATGTACAGATACCAAACGCACTCTCGACTCAGATTCGAATGATGTGGATCGTCGCAGCCCGACGCCCCCACCCACGCACACCCAAATCAAATCACATCAAGCAAAGCAAATAAAATCCTCCTCTCGAATAAAAAAGCAAAGCGTCGAAAGATATAATATAAGAATAGCTAAAGTGTCCGGCCCCGCGTGGTTCTCCCTCGCGCGGCTCCTCCCAAATTCCTCCAACCCCCTCCTCTTCCACTCCACTCTACTTCTCGCTCCTCGCATCTTCCACTCCACTCTACGCACGTGCACCCACCGTCGACACGCACACCGCCCTCCAACGCGCGGAGCGTCCGTCGGCAAATCGTCAAATCGTCCATAACATAATGATCTCGTTTTCGTTCTTTATTTGTTTGTTTGTTTGTGTCCCTGGCGTGAAGAGGGCGGGGTCAGACGCTGGTGCGTGAGGGCGGGGAGGGGCGGCGGTATGTCTGCGGGAAGGGAATGTGAGTAAGGAGCGGGTGACGGGCGGTGGGATAAGGGAAGAAGAGGTAAAGGTAAATGGAGCGACAAGGGACGTGTCGCCGCCGAGAGAGAAGGGAAGGGAAGGGAGTGGCAGGGGCGCACAGGGGATGCGGATCCAGAACGGGATGCGGACGGTGATGACGTGTCCGCCGGTGCGCTACCGCCGAGAGAAAGGAAGGGACGGGAGTGGAAGGGGCGCGCACGCAGGAACGGACGAACAAAGGGAGGGAAGGGGAGGGGGTGGGGCGGGGGCGAGTGAAGGCGGGTGGTGGTGATGACGTGTCCGCCGGGGTACGCCACCGCCGACAGGAAGGAAGGGGAGCGGCAGGGGCGCGCACGGGGAATGGATGAACGAAGGGAGGGGAAGGAGAGAGGGTGGGGCGGGGGAGGGGGAGGGGAGGGGCGGGTGGTGGTGATGACGTGTCCTCTGGTGACAGGAAGGGAAGGGACAGGGAGTGCGGTGGCATGTAGGAGGGGAGGAGAAGATGGCGCGCGCGGAAGGCCGAGGTACGCCAGGAAGGAGGAAGGGAGAAAGTGGCGATGAAGTATGTGGAGGCATATCGGGAGGCGATAAGGGCGGGCAGGCTGTGCATATAGCAGGGCAGCGGCACACCCCGCCGGAGAGAAGACAACAGGAAGTGGAAGTGAGGTGGGCGCAGAGCGGGGCGGGAGTAGTGTAGCAATAACGGGCTAGTGGGGGGACGCATAGACGTGGGGAGATAACGTGGAGGGGCAGCGACGAACGACAGACGACGGGTGTAATTGTGATGCATTAGATGTATGTAGTGCGCGGAGGCAGAACGGAGTGCGATAAGAGAGGGGCGGGAGTAACGGAGTGCGATAAGAGAGGGGCGGGAGTAACGGATAAGGGGACAAAAACAATAACACAAAGGGGGCGGGTGCAACGGAGGCAAAGAAGTAAAATGATTGAAAGAGAATACGCACATGGCGGTTCATAATCATCCAAGAGGTGGGCGCCGGAAGATTCCGTGATATTGACCTCCTTTCAAGCTCCGCTCGGAACGCGATCCGGTCACGTTTCAGGCTTGAGCATGGGTCCCGCTCGACTTCCGTTTCCTCCCCGCAGATGTCATTTTATTGTAAAATTGAGTAACAAAACCCCCCATTTTTATACCGTCCGAAGCGATCTGAATGGTCTCCAGAATATTTTCTGCCTCTTAAGTGGAGATATCAAAATATTCGCTCGGTCCGAACATGCGGTGTTTGGTTGTTGCAAACAACGCGTAAGCAACGCGTCTCGCAACATCATCCACTGTTCTACATGTCCGCTCGCGTCGTTTCAGCTTTCCTTTGCTGAAAAGTGAGTCCACTACCCCCTGTTACTCTAATAAAGGGCCTCTTTACTGAAATGCTGTCCAGAGCTTCTCAATATTCTTTCCTCGCGCGTGCACCGCGTGACCGCTTTCATCTAAACGGGTTCCAGCGTTGTTCCAGGCAATGTATTTATTCCTGTGTCGGAATTTTTTAACTGTTTTTGTCCGAACAATCGTTATACTGGATTGGGCGAAGCATGTATGTGGCATGTGTTGCGTTGTGTGTCTGTGACATGTGTACTACTGCCGACACGCCAAAAAAAAGGTGTGACTGAAATGGGTCAGAAAATCATGCGCCGGTATGTGAATGGCTAATAAATATCATTTTTGTTGCTCAGATAGTGCTCAAGCGCCAGTCCGCGAGCTCTAATGAAGAGAACTGGTGACGCTAAGCCTGCGGAGATTGGTCCGCAGCCTGTCGGTCCGATCAACCGGTCACGACGGGGGGGGGGGGGGGGGGGGGGGGGGGGGGTACAGCCACCTTCCAGACTTGAGAGGTTGATATCAGGGGTTTTCGGCCCGCCCACCTCTTGTAATCATCTTCGCCATCGACACCGGGGTCTGCGACTCGTAGATCGGTGGTACTGGCCCAAAAAATCATCATCAGGCGCTGACGTGTGCACACGAGGTGGGGGACATACACGGTGCCTCGACGCGGGGGCGGGATGCGAGGGCGGGCTCGGGGCGACGGACGGGGCCTGCGCGGGGGAGCGGTGACGCGGACACAGACGACGCTGGTGGTGGTGGGAGGGTCTCCCACGAGAGGCGCAGCGGCAGCCACGAGGAGGCCGGTTTGGGGCTCGTCTTGGCTGTGGTCTTCTCCGGAACTTGCATCTGGATGGCCTTGGCGCTGAGGGGCAGCGCAAGGCGTCGATGGGCAGCGGCGGCAGCGCACACGACGGCGAGGACGAGGACCGCGGCGAGGAGGGTGAGCGCTGATAAGCCGTCTACAAGGCCAGCCTTTCAAACACGCATTTTGCGATCTTTAGCGCGCATCTAGAGTTAGCACGAGACCCGAGTGTGTAACTAAGGGCTAGAACCATACAAATGGTGCCTACTATCAAGGGGATAATTATCATCCACTCTGTGAACGATGGACGGCCGTAATAGTATATATTCACGTGAATATCTACTATGTTGACTATTATTTGTTGTAACGACGCGACACGACACATCACGTGACCGACCGGCAGTCGGGGATCATTAACCGCACTCCGGTCGACATCGGGTTTAACCGGGTCTGGGTCTATTCCGAGTGGCGGTTCAGTCCGCGCTAAGGGGTTTGGTCCACAATAAGAGTAACGAGGGAACCAAGCTCCCACCCAGGGAGTTTGGGGTATCGCTAGGAAGCTACGGTTAGTCCGGAGTTAGCCTAGTACAAAACAGGACGGAGGGAAGAAGAATATTAGAGATTAGTGGTCGTTCGCTCAACAGGAGCTGCACCATATACCCGATCGAAACCAGGGACCATAGGCCCGAAGCCGGGCCAATATGTCAACAAGCGACATAAAGGAGTTCCTAGGAAGCCAATCACATTAAATAGCTCAGGCAATTAGGATACCAGATTTCATATTGTATTAAGTAACATATATCCGCGATAGTGTCATCACGTAGTGTAAGCGTAATTAGAGTAGTATAAAGCTAGTGTAGAAAGAGCGAGGACGGCACTGAATCACCACCCAGTTAGAGTTTATCTCGAACAACCAGGCGGTCACATTTAGGGCTTTGTTCCGGACTCCTTATTGTCCAACGAATATAGGCTTTTGGTTATCTGCAATAGTGTTCTGCTTTGAGTTTTATAGGCAGTGACCCCTGTCTTGAATACCTTGTCCCATAGGCAGTGATCCCTGTCTTGAGTACCATTTGTGCGACTACAGAAGAGTTGGCTCGGTTACGGAATTGTGTATTGTGTATCGTGTTGTATCAGAGGCTTGTTGGTCTCCAAAGCGGACTTACGTCCAAACCAAACCCTACCGGCCATCCACGCCGTTATCTGCACTATAGCTGTGAAGCTTTACAATCAATCAGAATTGTAACCTTGACTCGTCAAAGAGCGTGTGTCGTATTGTTGATTTGAAGACTTTCCTTCGGAATAAGCTTCGCATACAAACCAATCACTTGATTTATCAAAAGCCTAGTTTCCTTAGACCTATACTACAACCCTAGGTCTATAAAAACCCGTCTTTCTCGTCAGGTCACCCTAAGGGGCATACAAGGAGTGTTTAGTGTTTGGGATTTGATTGTTTGAGTGTTTGAGTTGTGTTAGTCTCTCTCGTAGAGTCTGGTTCAGTCTCACTTGTTCGACAGTTGGGTTTTGTTCATATTTCACATGCAGCCTTAGACCCTGAGCAACCGTTTCAGCGCGACGGTGGGGGTCACGCCCGGGGAAAGGCGGAGGCGGGCCGGGGCGGTGGGGAGGGCGGCGGGAGGATGAACATCGTGAGCGGGTGACGGGCGACGGGCGACGGGAGAAAGACCAGGGACGACGTGCGTGGAGAACTCTGGGATGTGATGGAGTTATTGGATGCAGTGCGGCGGTTTTGCCTGCGACATCGAGAACCCCACTGCCGAGCTCGGGGAATAGAGAGGAGAGTTGTGACTGCCACACGCTGGTGATTTGCGAAGCAAGCTTTATCTAGTAAGCTTATCAACGTATTGTAGTTGGGTAAGCATGTTGACCGGCGTGGGCAGGAAGAGAAGGAGGTGAGAAATGATTTAGGTGCTGGGCGATCAACCGATCAATCGATCACGTGGACCAAGGGCGGCAACAAGTTGAACAATTGAACCTGCTCACTTCCTTTCGTCAGGTGGCCCTATTACTCATAGCGATACAGATTGGGGGTATCCCGTAGAACAGTATAATAATTGAGATCAAGAACACAACCAAAAAGCCCGATGGACGGTCCAGTTCGAGGCACGGGGAATCGAGAGGCTAACACGCAGTGTTTCATTCACCACATCCGATGGTTTAACTTCCGTGCCTCTGAACCAATCGATCGGGAGGCAACGTTCAACGCCGTCAAATATAACCAAAGAACAACGGTAGACAAACGTATGGCTGTAATAGCGAGACATTATTATTTAAAACACCGGATCGGTTGTTTTGCGAAAATTTACACCACCTGGAGTGAATTAGCA